CAAATATTTCCACTCCTCAGTCCAGCTGTCAAATCAATAGCTGGATCCCTTTCATAAAACTTACACAAAAACTCCTAATCCAGTCATTCTCCCCTGTCAACTAATTGCTGGATCTGTCTTTCTAACCAGACTCAACAAACTCACTCACAGAATAGGATCCACCCTAGTTTGAGAAAACATCTGCTTCTCAGACCCCCCATCCATCTCCTAGAATAAACCTCCTCCTACCACCACCTCCAAACTAACAACCACACACCCTCTCTGCAGACAGAGGTCACCATGTGTCTTACAGAAAGGAATGCCTTGGCAGAAATGCTCCGACCAGTCTTCCTGCCTTGCTTTTTTCTCTCTCAACACACCTTCCCAACTACAGCTCATCACAGACAGCACCCACTTCTTCCTCTCACTCACAAACCAAAAAGGTTTTGTCTCTTCCCCCACCAACATTCCCTGCCAGCCCCTAACTGGTGCCACCCTCTCCAGATCCTGCTCAGTGTGGGACCTAGGAAATTAACAAGTCTCATGGCTGGCACTTTCTCCTATAGCTTCTGTCTTACTATCCCAACGCCTTCTTCCTCTGCAGCTCCTCCTCCTACCTCCGCCTTCCCTCTGACTGGCCTGGCACCTGCACCTTAGTGTTCCAGCTTCTCACTACTTCCCTACTGCCAAACAATCAAACTATTCAGGTTCCCCTTCCTGCTATAGTTCTCTCTTCTATGACCCGTCATAACCAGGCTGTTCCACTCCTCATTCCCTTACTGGCTACCCTGGGAATTTCCACAGCTCTAGGGACAGGAGTAGCTGGTGTTAGCACTGCCACAACCTATTTCCAACTGTCAAAAGCCCTCTCTGACACACTAGATGAAATGTCCTCTACCATTACCACCACTCAAAATCAAATAAATTCACTGATAGAAATGACTCTTGAAAACAGATGGGCTTTGAATATCCTAACTGCTGAAAAAAGGAGGTACCTATCTCTTCCTAGAGGAAGAATGTTGTTTTTTATGTTAACCAGTCTGGAATAGTCTGAGATGCAGCAAAAAACTATGTGACAGGACATCTCAAATCAACAAACAACAGACACACCCTGGTCCCGATGGCCCTAGTGGGCCTCCTTTCTAACCCCTTTTCTAACTCCTCTGTGCTTCTAGTTCTAGGCTTATTCCAAAAGTTCATCACGTTCATCAGACAGACCATGGAATCCTTCACTGCCCAGCAGGTCAAGATAGTCCGATGGCCCTAGTGGGCCTCCTTTCTAACCCCTTTTCTAACTCCTCTGTGCTTCTAGTTCTAGCCTTATTCCAAAAGTTCATCACGTTCATCAGACAGACCATGGAATCCTTCACTGCCCAGCAGGTCAAGATAGTCTTCACACTTCAAGCCATCCAATACCAACAATTACCATCAGGCCCCCAAAGCCCCCTAATGTTCAGCATCCTTAATCTGCTCAAAGAAAATATAGAAGAAAGAGACCTCCGTCTGAGCTCCCCCCTCCCTTCCTTCTTATATACATATAAAAGGAGGAATATTAGGCCTCATGGCTAGCTTAACATCAGCATAGCCAGGCTAAGCAGCTTTCCCCCCTTCTCCCCCTCCCCCTCCCCTTTTCTGCTCTGGGAACTGAGCAGTGAAATTCCTCTCCTGGGAAGGGGTAAACATGACCCTTATCATCAAAGGAACGTCTTGTGGGCTGCAGTAGCCAGCTTTGGGCTGGAGCACTCTGCACTGATGTAGTAGCAACACTAATTAGAAGCCTATGCCCTAACCAACCAGGTGTCAGCGACTACAAAGGCTGTGTCACCTGGCATACCACTGACTTCGAAATTGCCCATTACTCTGCCAGAACCCTAAAAGGATTATAAACCCCTGCTTTCCTTTGCTCGGGGGAACTGATCTGACTCAGTCTCCCCTCCACATTGGTGGAAATAAAGCTGCTTGGCTGAAATCGTGCCTGGCTTGAGTCTCTCTCCCTTTTCTCCATCTCGCTAAACCTAACAAGGACGACAGAGACCTTACCTCCTCTTCCAACCCATAAATGCAAGCTTTCCTTACACAACTGAGGGCGTTTTCTTTAGAGTAGACCCTCAAGGGCCTCCACCTGCAGGCCTCACCTCCCAGAAATCGGAGATCTGGCAGAGCGCCTTATAGATGGCCTGTTTGAACCAACCTGCCAGGTGATGAAAAAGAGCTCCAGAAGTGGACATTGCCTGGTGGTTGGGAAAGCTTTGTCTGAGAAAAGAAGTCGGAGTCTGGAGAAAAGGTCTGGGCAATTTCATGCATTTCTATAGTCTAACTTCTCTGTGGAGGTGCTCATCTGGGAAGTGGGTTTCTAAATTCTCTTTGAAATTTGCTTTTGGGAAATGTACTGTGGTCTTCAGAAATGGACACAGGTTGTCCCTGATTAACTGCAGACATTGTACTCTTTCACAATACTTATTCTCCTTCATCCATTTTTTAAAAGTTGAGTTTATGGGGCTACCCAGTAAAGAGCAGAGCCCAGGAATGTGAGCACTGTCCTTAGAGGCCTGTGGTCAGACAAGTCTGGTGATTGTTTTCTCTCTTTTGGAGCTTCCTCTCTCTTGGGGTTGATCCTGCCTTAAGGAAATGACATCTCTTGTGACCAGATCCGAAAGCTCCCTGTTATTAGTTCCAGCTCTTACAGGTGCCTTGGGGTTCCAGGGTGGGTTTGTACATCCATCCATCACAAGGTATCTAACAGTTTCTCCCTGGTCTGACCAGTCAGACTGAGATGTGTGAACTCCAGCCCTTCTATCAACTAGCTTTAAACATTATCCACATTTTGCCTATACCCTTTCATCTACACCCTGACACCCCCACTCCCACTCCATCTTTTTGTCTTGGAGTCTTTTGGATTAAAGCCCAGACATGCTGTTTCATAGCACAGTTTCATTATGAGACCCTGATGTGGTGTGAGGGGTTGTACAAAAAGCTCTGGATGAGAAGCCAGGTCACTGGGTTCCTGTCCCCACACTAATTTACTGGGCAATCTTAAGCAAGTTATTCTCCTCTTTGGGTTTGTCTCCTCATTTGTAAAAGGAGGCTTCTGACTCAGGTAGCAGCTGAGGTTCCTTGGTCAGTGAAGGAAAGTTGCTGGAACCAGGCCAGAACACCTCCTCCCCCTATTACCCCAACCCCGGGACCCCTCAGGGGGTACAACAAGCGTACCATCAAAGGTGTGGCAGTCCTTGGGACTCCTGGTGTCAAGACAAGGAATAAACAAACAAGCTAAGGTAATTTCTCTGTCCCTTGGAAACAAAGCCAGGGTGGTCTGGAGAGGCGTTGGAGAGAGCTGAAAGTGCCAAGTGGAAATTGGCCAAACAGGCCGTGAGATGATCATTCCCCTGCCCTACAGGGAACATCTGAGAACACCGAGGCCAGATGTGTTGATTTTATACTCTCTCCCTGGTGTGATAAAATCCCCACCAAGAGCATTTCTTCCTTGCACGCCGGCCTGCCTAGGGGAGGACCTCAGCCTGCTCTGGTCTTCCCTTCTGTCTCTGGAGCACATCTCCTCTTATGGAAGAGCCCCAGCTGCTTCTGCACTGTCAGCGGGAGCGCTTGCTGAACGCGCCTTGCTCCAGAGGCGCTCTCCACGTCTGGGTGCCCGCCAAGCCCCTGCTCCTAGCTCAGCCTCTATAGGCCCAGCCTGTCGACCCTCCCCCCTCAGTGAATCTACTTCCTTCCTCCACCACCACCTTCCATTCTCCATTGAAGAGCCAGTTATTGATCTTGGCCCATTTCTCAAAGTTGCTGCACTCCAATTCCATCCAGCACAGACGGACTCCCCTAGCCACATCCTCTCCTAGGGGAATGGCCCAGTCTGTCTTCCTGGGCTTAATGCAGGTCCTCCATCACACCTGGTCCCTCTTCCAAGAGCAAGCACATAAGTTTTGGGAAGTGCAAAGTTGAGGATGAGGATTCTTCTCTGTACACTCTGCCTGCTCCTCCCTTCCCCCATTGTGAGCATCCAGAGGGCCAGACCTAGCCTGATTCACCCAAGTGCCCAGTTCAGGGCCTGGCACAGAACAGGGGGCAGTTATGTGTGGGCTGCACAGCCAGAGCTGCCATATCATTTTGCAAGCCAGGAAGCAGCAGATCAATGTGGTGGGGGTGGGGAACAAGGTGCAGAATGATTTCCTGCGTCTTTCAGTGCAGTGGCTAGGAGCCTGTCCAGGAAAGGCAGACTTGCAAGGGGCACAGTGGAAGCCAGAGTGACAGGCCCTTCTCCTCAGGCCCCAGTGAGACTAGAGACCAGGCCTGACCAGGAGGTGGTTATGCAGAGCTGCTCCAGGGCCGCATCAGAGCAGGAGTTGAGGTGAAGGCTGAGTCAGGGCCTTACCTCTGATTTTTTGCTACCCACAGGCAAGTCACTTAACCCATTCTTCCCTAAAAGCAGAATGATCATCCCTATCCTATTTACTTTTCAGGGAGCTTACTGGGAGGAATAGATGAGAAGGTCCTAAAAAGTACTTGGTTAAGTGTTACAGCAGTATTAAGGTCTAGGGGCCGGCCCGTGGCTCACTCGGTAGAGTGCGGTGCTGATAACACCAAGGCCACGGGTTCGGATCCCATATAGGGATGGCTGGTTTGCTTTTAAAAAAAAAAAAAAAAAGTATAAGGTCTAAATGTCTATGCTTGTACTACCACTTGCCAAGCCCTGGGCTAGATGTGATATGTGCCACCTCTCTGTGTGCAGGCCTAACTCACCCTCATTTTACTGAGGCATCATTAGTGCCTCTCAAGGCCACCTTAGAAGTCACAGCAGAGACGCCCAAGAGTCCCCCTAAACTGTGAAACACAGATGGAGAGGGCGGGGGCAGAGGAAAGTCATCTTTTTATCTTGTTGAATAGAAGCAGTCCAAAACAAGACAGAAAATGCAATTTTTATTTGCTGAACATAATTTAAAATTATGACATAAAAATATCTCTCAGGTTGGCTGGTTAGTTCAGTTGGTTCGAGCAAGATGTTACATAACACTAAGGTCAAGGGTTTGGATCCCTGCACCTACACCAGCCAGCCACCAAAAAAAATTTCTTTTCTTCATCCATCACCAGAAATCCAGATGACAACTGGAGAGGGTTGGTCCTTCACTCTCGTGAGAGCTTGATGAAAAATACAAATCCTGTGCAGCCGGCCCTCCCTCCATGTTTGTCCTCAGAATGCCTGCAGGCCACAGCAGGCAGGAGGAGGCAGCAGCAGGAGAACTGTGAGCGGGGAAAGCGCCTCTCTGCCTCTTTGGGAAAGCTGATGGGGAGGCCAGAGGTCACAGAGCGTTGGAGGCCTGGCTTTCAGCCACCAGCCAGGCCAATATGAAACATCTGCTCAAGTCTCCCCAGGCACCTGGCTGGGCGAGTAGGAGGAAGGAATGGAGAAAACCCATGCTGACCATGAATTAGCACCCTGTACCTTGGCCCTGAAATGGCCTCTGCTGACACAGGAGGGGGTGAGATTAAGAGTGAATAAATAAAAGTGACACGCTTCAAGGAGGGAGCGTGACAGACCCACTGAAGCACCCCATGTCCTGGCATGACCAGGGATGAACCAGGGCATGATGACTTTAAGAGACACTGGACTACGGACAATGGCATCGAAGTAAACTGCTGAGGTGGGGAAGTGGGGGAGGTAGGGAGGGACTACTTGTCAGAGGGACTACAGTGGGGATTTTAGCTGAGTGTGGGTGGGATCACCATGTGACTACAATATTTTTTTTTCTGCCTAACATCCACAGAGCAAGAATTAGGACACCCCCAGGTTGCCCTCTACTGGCGATTTCTGGGAATGACCACACACACAACAGCACTGAACCTGCAACCCAAAAAACTCCTGGAGATAGACAGCCAGCCCCCAGGAATGAAAAGGACTAGCTACACCTCCTGCCAGGCTGAAGGCATGACTGGGGCCTCCTGGCAGGAAGCTGGGAGCACCCCTGTCGATTTTAGCAGGCTCCTTCATCTCTGCATGGCTGCAGAAAGGCCTAGGACAAGGAAGGCCTCTGGTGCTCAGTTCAAAGGCATCGAGAAGAACTTGTTCCCAGACTTGCAGCGGACCTGCTCAGCGTGCACACGCAGCAGCATCTCTGAGTCTTCAAACTCCTCCACCATTTCCTAAGCCAGCAGCCGGGAGAGGACAGTCACATTAGGGGAATCTGGGACCCTGAGGGCACCGCAAACAAAACCAGTCTACCAAACTCCTTCAGAGGCTGGGTAATGCCAAGGGAGACCAAGGGCCATACAGGTTCTGCATAACTTCTCTTGTCTATTCACCTCTTCAATCACGTGAGGTCGGTCCTATCACCTCAGCTTCACAGGTAAGGACACAGGTGCTCAGAGCCCTGGGTTACAGAAACCAATAAAACCAGGATTGGGACTCAGGTCTGCTGGAGTTGGAAACCAGAGCTCTCCATCTCCAGCATGATCAGGCCAAGGGCAAGGTAGCTACCTGAGGATAGGCCAGGGAGGCCAAGGGCAAGGTAGCTACCTGAGGATAGCTATAACCAGCCTGCACACATATAGTTAGGCTTACAAAAATGTTTTTAAAAATCTAAATTAGTTGCCAATATTTGAAAATTGGGAGATTACCCACAAAAATCTGGATTTCTGGCTTCTTTTGAAAATCAGAAGTGCTAGCAACACGAGGCCCACATTTCTGCACAGCCACACTCCCCACTGTGTCCTCTACCAGAGGTGGAGTATCAGCTGCCACTCACTACCACATGTACCCTGTTGATTCTCCTCCAAGGGCACTGACGGGAAGGTGAATTATTTCACCTGCTTATCAAAATACAACAGCCTCCAAAGGCTGCATGTTCCTACGTGTGGCACATTCCACTCATTTCTAATACCTGCCAGGCCCCAGCCTTTGTCCTTTGAGTGAGAAGCTCAGACTTCAGGGGAAGGCACAGCCCCCTCAGTGATCTAGGGCAGTGCTTCTCAAATTTTAATGTGCACACACATCCCTAAAGATCTTATTAAAATACAATTCTGATTACTTAGATCTGATGTGGGACCAAAGAGTCTTTTGCTGATAAGTTCCCAGGTGATGCTGATGCTGCTTGTCTGGGGACTACACTTTGAGTAGCACGGTGCTATGTACTGAACTGTGTTCCCTAAAGTTCCATGCATTATAAACTTAACCCCCACTGTGACAGTGTTAAGAAGTGAGAAATCCTATTATGGTAATTAAAAGGTGGAGCCTTGAAGAGGTGATTAGATTATGAGGCAATGCCCTAGTGAATGGATTCATCCACTGATGGTTTAATGGTTGTCATGGGCATGGTTCTGATGGCTTTAAAAGGAGAGCACGTGAGAAGCTCTCTCTCTCTCTCTCTCTCTCTCTCTCTCGCTCTCTCTCAAGGCATCTGCCATGTGACATCCTGCATTGCTGTGAAGAGTCACCACCCACCAACAAGGCCCTCACCAGATGTGTTCCCTGGAATTTGGACTTTCCAGTCTCTGGAATTGTAAGCAATAAATATTGTTTGTTTACAAATTACAGTTTCAGGTACTTCTCTCATAAGCAGCAGAAATGGACTAACACACAGGGTAAGGCACTAGCTTCATGTCATTTGCTTCCCAGGAATTCAGGTTTGGATGCCTAATCTCCCCCCACCCCATCACTCTGCATTCAGTGCCCTCTGTGCTCCTGCCCTGGGAATTCACCTGTAGTTCCCTCAGGCACTGCCCTTCCAGCTGGAGACGTGCATCACCCACACACCAGGCCAGACTGATGTGGAATGAAGGGTCCTGGAGAGGAAAAGCAGGGAAGTAGGCAGTTACCTGGATGTCACAGCAGCCACAGCAGGCCCAACCATCACAGCAGGTCTGCAACAGAGCTCTCATGGTATCCCTGCTGAATCCCTGGCTGCCCTGTGGGAGACTAGATCCTCACTGTTGATCCCAAGCACCCTCCATGGACAGACAAAATAGCCCGAGGTTGGTCCTTGCTATGGACTGAATCGTGCTCCCTCCCCTAAATTTATATATTGAAGCCCTATCTCCCCCTGCCCCCAGTGGGATGGTATTTGGAGATGGGGCCTTTGGGAGGTAATTGGGGTTAGAGGACGTAATGAGGGTGGGGCCCCCATGATGGCATTAGTGGCCTTATGAAAAAAGACAGTGGAGAGCTTTTGTGCTTCTCTTTCTCTCTCTCCCCCACTCTTTCCCTCTCTTTTCCCTTCCCTCCCCCTCTCCCCTTCTCTCTTGCTCTCTCTCTCTCTCTCTCTCTCTCTCTCTCTCTTCCCCTCTCCCCCTCTGCCATGTGAAGATACAGCAAGAAGGCAGCTATTGGCAAGCCAGGAAGAGCCCTCACCAGAAACCAACCTTGCTGGCACCTGGATCTTGGACTTTTAGCCTCCAGTACTGTGTGAAAATAAATTTCTGTTTAAGCCACCCACTTTATGGTATTTTGTTATGGCAGCCTGAGTGACTAAGATAATCCTGTTCTCAGAGGTTTTCCTTTATATATCAGAGAGAGTCATTAAATCTGGGGATGTGGAAGAGAACCCAGGCTCTGCTTCTATTTTCTGATCTAGAATGTTTCAGCAGATGCCATACTTTTCAGGATGAAATCAACAAAACCCAAAATGTCTAAAATCTGAACAAACAATAATTATCTGCATTCAAATTCATACTTATTTACCTCAGCATAGTTTTAAATAATATCAAATAAACCAATGGCCCTTTAAAGTCTTGACACTCAGCTTGGAGTCCCAGTACCCCGGAGGGCACTGGGCAAGGTGCAGTAACGTATATGAAGCTACACCTCTTCCTGGAGTGTCAATTTTACTAAAACTACTGCAGACAACTACTTCTTAAAAAATATAAAGGCAAACATGGACACATTATGAAGTAGAAGGCACAAATTGAGCATATTTAAGATATAACACAAGATTTCTAAGAAATGTTGGACTCTGGAGGGACTGCATCCAACCCCTTACCTCCCATGAGTGTGTGTCCTCTTAAGTCTGGCATTCAGGACAGTCCACACAGAAAGTTCTAGAGGGCTCTTTGCTTTATTTCTCATGGGGGCTTCTTTAAGGACGGTTTTATTCTGGTTATAGATGGGACAAAGGAGAATAAGCCCTGTTCATTACCTGGTAGAAAGTGGTGAGGTCAAATTCCTCCATGACTCTGTCCACTTCTGAAACCAGGTCCAGGAGCTGGGCATGCCCTGAGGTGACCTCAAGCCCAACAAAGGTCCTGGGGAGAGGCAGAAGTGGAGACAGAATGGACAGGAGACACGGCTGCTGAGAATACAAATCATCCGAGCAGGGGCAGAGGATGCACCAGACAGAAAGCCTAGAGGCCCAGGCCATGAGTCCTCCCATCTCCCTGTACATTCACATCCCTGTGCTGTGAGCTGACTCGCTCAGTCCTCCTCTGTCTTAAACCTTCCTTCCCCTGTTCTAACCCACACATTTCTCCTCTCTCCCCTGGCTCTAATAACCCTAGCAGGAATGCCTTCATATGCCCATCAAGTCTATAAACCCAAAAGTTTCTGCACCCCTGTTCTCCATCATCACTCCTCTTGCAAGTGACTCCTGGACTGTGGAGCCTTCTCAAAGACTTTGCTCTCTGGCATTCACTACCCCCGCCCCCAGCATTCAGATGTGCTCTCCCTTATCTTTAAAAGCCCTCCTCTGAACCCACATCTTCAGCCAGCCCCATCCCGTTCTCAGTAAAACTTAAGAAGATAATTTGTCTCCCTTCATTGTCTCTACTTCCTCACCTTCCATCTTTCACCCTCTTCTCTGGAAGTGCTCTTGACAAAGTTGCCAATGACCTCCATGTCGCCAAATCCAGTGGACACTTCTCTATCCTCATCTTAACTGCTCAGCAGTATCTGACACAGTTAACTCTTCCCTCCTTGAAACCCTTTTCTTTCTTGGTTTCCAGGGCACCACATGCTGCAGAGTCTTGGTTTGATCCTATCTCTGTTCTCCTGGTTCAGTCTCCTTTGCCATTCTCTCTTCTATCCAACCTCTAAATGGCAAAGGGCTGCAGAGCTCAATCCTCGGCCCTCTTATATTCTCCATCTGCACTCCCCAGCAAGCTCCTCTCACCCAGCTGTTACCTCACAAGCCAATGACACCCAATTTTCTATGTCCAGCTGGCATCTGTCCTGTACACCCAAGTGCATATGTGACATTTCCATCTGGGGGTCTAATAGCAGCAAAACCTAACAGGAACAAACAAACAGGTACAAAGCAGAACCTTTGATTTTTATCCCACTGGTGTTTCCCATCACAGAAAATGGCGCCAGCTGTCCACATCCCAAGCCCAGGAATCAACTTTGTTTCTTACCCTTACTTTGCACAAATCCAACCCATTGGTAATTCTGGTTGATTTTGCCTCCAGTGTATCTCAAACGTGTCCACTTCCATCACCCCAATCTAGGCCACCAAGGTCCCTCAGCTGGACAATGACACTTGCCTCCTCTCTGGTCTCCCTGCATACACCCTTGCTCCCTTATATCTTTTCTCAAGACTCAGTAGCTACAGACACAGACATAATCTAGCCAGGATGACACTTACAAACATCAGATCATGCTTCTTCCTCTGTTCAAATCCCCTCAGCGGCTTCCATTACACTGAGAATCCAAACTCCTTACTTGACCTTGAAGGCCCTGCATAAGCTAGCCCCACCCAACTCATCTCCCACTGCTCTCCCTCATGCCCTCCAGTTCCACCTCAGTGGCCTCAAAAATACGCCCAACTCTCCTGCCTGCCTCGGAGTCCCTTTGTTTGCCGTGTCCTCCACTTGAAGGATCTTGAAGCACCTCTTCCCAAGGCTGGCTCCTGCTCATCCTCAGGGCTCCACAAAATGCCGTTTCCTTGGCCACTTTCCTGGTACCTTCCTCAGCCACCCACTCCTGACTCTCCATCATAGCACATTATAATTAATACTCTAATATATTTGTTTACTGTCTGTCTCCCCTGCAAAGGGTAACATCTCAAAGAGCAGGGGCTATGTCCACCTTTTCACTGCTGAATCTCTACCATCCAACAAGTGTTGGGCACAAGCAGGTGCCTGACAAATTCATGCAGGACAGAATGAATGAATGAATGAATGAATGAGACTTCCTTTCAAAGCTGCTGAGAGAAGACAGCAGCTCAGTGAGCAGATCAGACAGAGAGGCTCACTTTGAAGCCTTGATAATAATAATTTCTTCTTATGTTCATCTAACACTTCAATACTTTCAACTTTTCAAAACCCACTGGGCTCATTTAAGCCTCACAAGTGCCCAACAATGGATGAATCAAGGGAAGGCATGTGATAATGGTGTGGAAACATAAGGTCACAGAGGTGAAGATATGAGCCAAATGTTACAACTGGGGATGGAGCTGAGCAGGAACAGGATTTCTGACTTTTTTTTTTAAAAGAAGACCGGTAAGTGAGCTAACCAGCCATCCCTATATAGGGATCTGAACCCGTGGCCGTGGTGTCATCAGCACCACACTCTCCCAAGTGAGCCACAGGCTGGCCCAGGATTTCTGACTTTCCAAGGCTTTTTGCCCATATCAAGATGGCTTTCTCTACCTCTGGTCCCCCACCCCCATGCTCCTCCCACCATTTTTCTTAATGAAACATTCAGATTTGGGGACACAAAGTTGGTTAAAAACAAATAAAAAACTGGGGAAAAACAAGTCCAGAAGAAAAGCATCCCCTCTGGGCCGGCCCGGTGGCGCACTGCTACAGTGCGCCGCTTGGGAGCGCGGCGGCACTCCCACCGAGGGTTCGGATCC